GACTGATGGAAGCACAGGCAAACACCCACAGTTAAACACTGAACTGAACCCATGAAACCCAGTGACAGAGAGAGAGGAACGTTGAGCAAATTGGCAAAGAATGGGCTGGCAAAACCAGCAGAGACAGCTGATCTGAACAAGGGGGAGCTCTTGGACCCTAGACCTACAGCTGGGAGGCCAGCATGGGACTGATCCAGACCCCCTGAGTGTGAGAGTCATTGAGGAGGCCTGGGCAACCTATGGGGCCCTGGGCAGTAGATCAGTGTTTATCCCTGGCATACAAACGGACTTCGTGTGTCCATAACACAAAGAGGGATGCTCTCTCAGTCTGGACTCTTAGGGTAGTGCCCGGACCCTGCCCTGAGTGAAATGACAGGCTCTAGATATCCCCTATGTGGAAGGAAGTGGGGATAGGGTGGTGGGGGGATGTGGGAGGAGGGGAGGGAGATGGAACTGGGATTGACATGTGAAGCAAGCTATTTAAAGTTAAAGAAATAAAAAATAATTAAACAAACAAAAAAATTGAGGAACACTTTAGTCAAGGTTTTCCAGAGAAGCAAAGTAACTAGAATTTTATACCCACAGAGTTATGTATCACTTAAGACCAGGAAATGTGTTGTTGGGCAGTTTCATGGTTGTGTGAACATCGCAATGTACAATCTATGTGCTATAGCCCATTTCATATGTATTATTTGTGGTATGTGCTGTTATATATGGGGTCTGTGTTGGAGGTGATACAGTGATGATTCATTATGTATGTATACATATATGGGCATATGTACATATGTATTGCATGGAGGGCAAATGGGAAGACTGAGATGGGGAGGGAAAGAGACAGGGAGAGGGAAACAGAATAAGAGAGTATAGGGCACTATAGTAGTTTGCAATTCAGGTAAAAGTTGATAGACTCATGAATCTGAGTACACAAGAAAACTTTCAATTTATTGGATATAGTTAGGTTGTGCTATTGATTCCAAGTTTCTGGATTAAAAGGACACATCTAGTCAGGTGGCAGTGACACATGCTTTTAATACCAGAACTTTAATCCCAGGTAGAGGTAGGTGAGATCAAGGCTGGCTTGGTCTACAAATTGAGTTCCAGGACAGCCAGGACTGTTACACAGATAAACCCTGTAATGAAATTCCAAAAGAGACACATTTAAAAAATACCTTTATGGTAATTTCTAGAATAGTGTTTGACCAAACAGCTAGGCATCATAAATTGACACATAAAGTTAGTTTTCATATGCAGATAATAGAGTTGCCATGTAAAACCATGTATAACATCTCTCAGGCACACAATTTTCCATATTATTAATGTGTGGCATTACTTTTCATATTTGTAAAATTTATATACCAATAGTCATACATTATTAGAATTCATTCATTAGAGTGGTTTATGTTTTAATTAATTAATTCGTGGTTGTTTTTGTTATTTTTTCTGACAATGAATTCTCGGGTCTTTTGAATGTTAGGCAAGTATTTTATCATTGTGCTGTATATCTCGCCTTCAGGGTTTTTTACAGCTTTTATTGATTGTTGTGCAGCCTGGGTTGGCCTTGAACTTATGATCCTTATACCTTAAACCTTAAACTTCTAAGGCAGTGAGCCCAGACCCAACATATCATTAAATACTCTGCTGGCAAAATATTTTGTGGTTGGAGCAGGGAAGATACAAGATAAGCATGGTATGCCTCGTAACAATAAGAAAGGAAGAGGATCTCAAAACTGAGGAGATGAAATCATGTCAGAGGGGCATAGGAGACAACCAAAGTGCATACAATATGAGAAACAAAATACATGTTGTAGTATTGGGTTGTTAGTTAGAGCATATAATACACATCCACGGATCATTTGATAGAAACAAATGCTGGAGTACTTGTCAAAAGAGAGAAATTCAGGCTTACTTTTCTGCAGAAGGGAGAGCAGTGATGTGCTCCAGTGTGGAAGGGAGAGCAGTGATGTGCTCCAGCGTGGAAGGGTGAGCAGTGATGTGCTCCAGTGTGGAAGGGTGAGCAGTGAGTGATGTGAGCCATTGTGGAAGGGTGAGCAGTGATGTGCTCCAGTGTGGAAGGGTGAGCAGTAATGTGTGCCAGCGTGGAAGGGTGAGCAGTGAGTGATGTGCTCCAGTGTGGAAGGGTGAGCAGTGCATGATGTGCTCCAGTGTGGAAGGGTAAGCAGTGATGTGCTCCAGTGTAGAAGGGTGAGCAGTGAGTGATGTGCTCCAGTGTAGAAGGGTGAGCAGTGAGTGATGTGCTCCAGTGTAGAAGGGTGAGCAGTGCGTGATGTGCTCCAGTGTAGAAGGGTGAGCAGTGATGTGTTCCAGTGTGGAAGGGTGAGCAGTGACGTGCTCCAGCGTGGAAGGGTGAGCAGTGATGTGCTCCAGCGTGGAAGGGTGTGCGGTCATGTCTGCCAGTGTGGAAGGATGAGCAGTGAGTGATGTGAGCCATTGTGGAAGGGTGAGCAGTGATGTGCTCCAGTGTCGAAGGGTGAACAGTAATGTGTGCCAGTGTGGAAGGGTGAGCAGTGAATGATGTGCTCCACTGTGGGAGGGTGAGCAGTGATGTGCTCCACTGTGGAAGGGTGAGCAGTGAATGATGTGCTCCACTGTGGAAGGGTGAGCAGTGATGTGCTCCAGTGTGGAAGGGTGAGCAGTAATGTGTGCCAGTGTGGAAGGGTGAGCAGTGATGTGTGCCAGTGTGGAAGGGTGAGCAGTGATATGCTCCACTGTGGAAGGGTGAGCAGTGATGTGCTCCAGTGTGGAAGGGTGAGCAGTAATGTGTGCCAGTGTGGAAGGGTGAGCAGTGATGTGTGCCAGTGTGGAAGGGTGAGCAGTGATATGCTCCACTGTGGAAGGGTGAGCAGTGATGTGCTCCAGTGTGGAAGGGTGAGCAGTGATGTGTGCCAGTGTGGAAGGGTGAGCAGTGAGTGATGTGCTCCAGCGTGGAAGGGTGAGCAGTGATGTGCTCCAGTGTGGAAGAGTGAGCAGTGATGTGCTCCAGTGTGGAAGAGTGAGCAGTGATGTGTTCCAGTGTAGAAGGGTGAGCAGTGATGTGTTCCAGTGTGGAAGGGTGAGCAGTGATGTGCTCCACTGTGGAAGGGTGAGCAGTGATATGCTCCACTGTGGAAGGGTGAGCAGTGATGTGCTCCAGCGTGGAAGGGTGAGCAGTGATATGCTCCACTGTGGAAGGGTGAGCAGTGATGTGCTCCAGTGTGGAAGGGTGAGCAGTGATGTGCTCCAGCGTGGAAGGGTGAGCAGTGATGTGCTCCAGTGTGGAAGAGTGAGCAGTGATGTGTTCCAGTGTAGAAGGGTGAGCAGTGATGTGTTCCAGTGTGGAAGGGTGAGCAGTGATGTGCTCCACTGTGGAAGGGTGAGCAGTGATGTGCTCCAGTGTGGAAGGGTGAGCAGTGATGTGCTCCAGCGTGGAAGGGTGAGCAGTGATGTGTTCCAGTGTAGAAGGGTGAGCAGTGATGTGTTCCAGTGTGGAAGGGTGAGCAGTGATGTGCTCCAGTGTGGAAGGGTGAGCAGTGATGTGTTCCAGTGTGGGAGGGTGAGCAGTGATATGCTCCACTGTGGAAGGGTGAGCAGTGATGTGCTCCAGCGTGGAAGGGTGAGCAGTGATATGCTCCAGTGTGGAAGGGTGAGCAGTGATGTGCTCCAGCGTGGAAGGGTGAGCAGTGATGTGCTCCAGTGTGGAAGAGTGAGCAGTGATGTGTTCCAGTGTAGAAGGGTGAGCAGTGATGTGTTCCAGTGTGGAAGGGTGAGCAGTGATGTGCTCCAGTGTGGAAGGGTGAGCAGTGATGTGTTCCAGTGTGGGAGGGTGAGCAGTGATATGCTCCAGTGTGGAAGGGTGAGCAGTGACGTGCTCCAGTGTGGAAGGGTGAGCAGTGATGTGGGCCAGTGTTCCTTACTTCAGGAGATAGAACATGACTCCTTTGCTTTCACCTAAAAGTTGGTGAGACTCAGTCACTTCTGAAGACAGGCCATGTAAAGGGAAAACCTGACAGTGGTGGAAAAGCCTGCAAACAGCACCTCACCAGCTGATGAAGGGTAGTAACATCAGTGATGTTCTCCTTGACATGTGTAAGAACTGTAGTCATCTCTGTGATGTTCCTTCAGAAAACTAGGACACCATACGAAGAAGACAGAAATGACAAAATACTTGAACAGTTTTTGTGTGGCTTTCTAGGTGCACAGATGAACTGTGCTGATGTAACTTGCTGTCATTAGGGGAAATCGGGCTAATGGGAGACAGACATGTGTACTGTCTTTTAACTTTTCCATCAATATTGTTATTCCAGAAAAAAGTTTACATTTTTTGTTTATTTAAGAAGGTAGCTTTTTGGCTTTTTTTATTGTTGTTTTTGTTTGTTTTGAGGCAAAGTTTCCCTGAGGAGTCTTGGCTGGCTTGGCTTCCAATTCTCTGGTGCCTCCCTAGTGCTGGGATTAAAGGCATGCCCCAGTACACATGCCTGGATGCCTTTCTTGATTTGTGAAATTCGGTATTGTGAAGAATAGAAACTGTTTTTGTATCAACCAGACATTTCCAGTCAACATGTCTCATTTTAATATTTCTCATAAAATGGATTAATATATGATATCAGTTTTACAATGAGTTCTATTCACAAACCATAGCTCATTTATATGTAAAATTTAATGGTCTTTGGAATGCTACATTGCTATGTGAAACTTGGAAATTGTAGACTAAGGTTAATGAGGTGCAAACAAAATAATCACTTAGATTATTTTGAGAATCCCAGTTGTGATTACTTGGGGGATTCTGATTTGGAAAATTCTTGTGTTAATACTGTGTTAGATCAAAATACAGCATTTTTGGAACTTAAATTTTAAGAGTAATATCAGTTAACATAGCAGATATAATTAATCTACCAGAATAAAGGAATACTTTAGAGCAATTAAAAGCGTGGTCTTCACTTGTATTCTCTATGAATGATGAATCTGAGTAAGTTTTGTGTCATTTCCCATCACTTCTTTTCTAGATTTGCTGTCTAGGATCAATTTGGATGAGCTCATGAGGAAGGATGAACCACCTCTTGATTTCCCTGATACGCTGGAAGGATTTGAATATGCTTTTAATGAAAGTAAGTGCTATACATTATACATAGTGTTTATTGATCACTTTTCAGATAGAATTTTTTATAAAGAATGTTTTATGACAAAACATGTATCAATAGTAATAGTAATCAATAGTAATATTTTGTTGCCTGTTAGCTTGTGGGCTGTTTTTCTTCTGATTGCTAGACTCTTCCTGTTGAAAGCAAGGGGCCAGATGGTCTGTCTTTTTTCATAGGCTGATGATTAAACCTTTTAGTAAATAGAGACTAATGTTTTCCACTAGGAGTGTTTTATTGGAATACTAGATGGTTGATATTGTTTGATGCATGTGGCATGTTTCCATGAAGACTATCACATAACACACAGAATGGGAATTTTATTACCAAATGCTTACTGATGTGTGGAGCCCTGTGTGCCTCATCTAGACCTTGCTTGCTCAGGGTCAGCCAATCCAGTCCAGTGAGAGAAATGTAGGTGGGGGAATAGCCGGCACGTCCCGGGCTCTCCCTGCCTTATGTTCTGCAGCTTGACTGCAGGTCCTGGAACTTTTAATACAGCATATTAATCTTTGACAGGGAAGCCTTGTGATTTGAGTGAGTCTGGTGTTAGCTTTCCTCCTCTTCTTCAGTCTCTGTTACTGGACACTCTGAACCCTAATGCCCTCTAGGTGACCCCACAGTGCATTCTTATGTGTTCACATCATCGTACACCTCATTCCCCATGTGCATCACAGATGACAGCTTTACATAACTGACTTTCTTTGACTCTCGTTTCATTTTCTGAAAAGTTGCTTAGATTTTCAATATTTGTGCTCCCAGATAGTCTCTAAACTTCTTTAAGACTGTGGCCATGCCTTTGCATCAGGTAGCAGTTCTTATCCATAGTGGCCTTAGGGTAGTGTCAGTTTGCTTTAAAATGAGACATTATTTATTGTAAATTCCATATTATCTAAAATATATTCTAAATCATTGGAATATTGCTTGTTGTCTTTTAGAGGGGCAGTTAAGACACATAAAAACCGGGGAACCATTTGTTTTTAACTACCGAGAAGACTTACACAGGTGGAACCAGAAAAGATACGAAGCTCTGGGAGAGGTATGTCAAGGATATTGCTGTCTTACATTTTCCAATTTGAACAATTTCTGTAGGGCTGGATTTGTGGATATGTATTGTTTAAATCTGGTTTTGTCATGGAATATCTTGTTTTCTCCATCTATAGTGATTGAAAGTTTTGCTGGGTATAGTAGTCTGGGCAGGCATCCGTGGTTTCTTAGTGTTTGTAGAACATCTACCAGGAGGTACACCATAGATACTGTTTTACTGTATTTTCCAAATTGAAGTACCAGGAGTAATGGTTTGGAAGATGCCACAGTTCACATACTCCTTTTATGAAAAGTGATTTTTAAAATGCTTTTTCTTCTTTGTATTTGGTAATTTTTAGTCCTTTACTAGAAGCATTTCTTAATTTGAAGGCTACTTTTATGCTGACATATCCTTCATATGACTTTGGTATTTTCTAGTAAGTCATTTACATAGGCAAACAAATTCACACCAAATTTTACCCTTTCTGAGTATTATTTTTAAAAGGTTGAATTTTTAAGAGTTTCAATTATGGTAAACAAGGTCACTTAAAAAGGGATAGTAAACAGGGTGTTCTTAGAACACAATGCTTTTTCTAAGCATTATTCAAACAGAGCACCCCTCCTTTCTGGATTACATAGAAGGTGTTGCAAAGGCATACATTAGACTAATGAATGTAGATATTCAAGTTAATCTTTTTGCTGTCAGGAAACTCCTTGAGGAGCCTCTTGTAGGTCTCTATGTCAAATTTAGTTCGGTCATTTCCTGTCAACTTGGAAACTCTCAGAGCAATTGAAGAACCTATATTATAGGTTCTTTATATAAGAAAACATACTGCTCTGGGTGATAGAAGAGTTTTGAAAGATAAAACAAAAATTTCAGTAAAAATCATAAAGCAAGTATTTTGGCAAACTTCTGTAAGTGAACAAAGGTTAAAATTAAAAATATGAATTCATGACATTATCGTCAAAGGTCTGATAGACAAGGTGTGGCTGTAACAATAATTGCACCAGAATCTTGGCATTCAAATTGACCTCTTCAGGTAAAACAGAGCATGAGATGAGTTGAATGTATAGGGCTAGAAGGACACAGAGGAAAATTAAAGCCAGATGTTGCTAACATAGGAATGAATTTGTGGGGACATGATTTACAACAGTAATGGAATATTCAGATTAACATATGTTTCTGGAGAAAATATTATAGGGTATTATAAAGAACAGTCACTAACTATTTAGGTTGTATGAGAATGGGACACAGCAGCTGCGGATCTTTCAAAGGCACCAACAGCCCTACCTTTAAAAGGTTGATCTGCAAACCTGTATGGGCTGCACAGTAGCCTTTATCAACAGAGAAACTGCAGGCCTTAGGTGAACTGGTACAGGAGCAAGTAAATGTTCAGCATATTGAAGAGTCAACCAACCCTTGGTTGTTATTTGTTATTAAAAAGAAATCTTGAAAATGGAGAATGGTAACAGATCTAAGAGCTGTTAATAAGGTGATACAGCCAATGGGCTCTTTACAGTCTAGAATTCCTTTGCCTTCTCTATTGCCTAAAGGATGGCTTCTTATAGTTGTTGATTTAAAAGATTATTTCTTCACTGTATCATTGCAAGAAAAGGAGAGAAAAATTTGCCTTCACAGTGCCTACTTATAATAATTCTCAGCCTGATAAAAGATATCTATGGAAGGTTCTCTCACAGAGAATATTAAATGGCCCAATCCAGTGTCAATATTTTGTACCACAGCTGTTGAAAATGATAAATAAGCAATTTCCTTTATATATAGCTTACCATTATATGGATGGCATCTTTTCAGCTGATTCAAATGTAGATACTTTAGAAAAAATGTTTGAAGAAGTAAAGAAGATTTTGCCTTGTTGGGGATTATAAATTGTTCCTGAAAAAATACAAAGAGGAGATTCTATTAATTATTTAGCCTACAAAATAGGTTTACAAAAAATTAGATCCCAAAAGGTGGAAATTAGGAGAGATCAGTTGCAGATTCTTAATGACTTTCCGAGATTGCTAGGACACAGTTCCCATCTATGCCCCACTATTGGGATAGGTCCTGACAAACTAAGTAATCTGTTCAAAACCTTAGAAGGTGACAAAGACTTAAATAGTCAAAGAGAACTGCCAACTGAAACTGAGAGAAAATTGACTTAGGTGGAAGAAATTCCAGATTGCATATGTGGATCATGCGGATGCAAAGCTTAACTGTATTCTGGTCATATCACCCTCTAAGCATTCACTTACAGGAATTTTAATGGGGAAAGGACTCTGCTTTTGTTTCCACAGGAGAAGAAAAACTATGGATATCATCAAAATTGATAAAATTAGATTTGAACAAGAGAGATCCCTTAATTAGAAGAGATAATAGTTTATCAAGCAGCATAGCTGTTTAATTTAAACTTTAAAGCTAACATAACTTGCCAAAAGAGAACCTCCCCCAAATTAGGGTTAGGAAAGGGTTTTGTTTTTGTTTTTTTCAGGAGAATAAAGGCATCCAGCTAAGGAATTTGAAGTACACTGGACAGATGAGACATGTGAAGAAAAAGGACAAATCATCCAGAAAAAAAAGTCCCAAGAAAAAGAGTAAATTGGTCTATTGGTATATTGTACTTCCAACAGGATAAAATTTAATAAATCTTCCCAAATGTTTGTTTCTTCTTTTCTCTACAGACATATAATGCAAATCCTCTTTATATAGTCCCAGTCTAATTAAAGATTAAAGCTGGCTTTGGAGTTGGAGTGTGGCTTTCTCCTTCTCTAAACCCAAGTATGTTTTTTAAAGTAAAATCTAAATTTTCTGTCTCATGTCAGAAGAGCCACCTTGTATGAGACAGAAGAAAAACAAAAATCAAGGAACTATTTTATTGCCACTAATCTCATAATCTTTTGGTTTTATTTTGAGTCTTTGAAGCTTTTCTTAAGGTATAAATATTGTGGCAAAAGTTATAAGATTAATATATTAAACTTTTTAATATGTTAAAATATATTTAAAATGATAGTAATGGTCACATAGAGTACTAATTAATTCTACAAAAAGGCTTCATCTAGCTTTCTATACATGATTTCGGGTTTGAGTCTCTATCAGGGAACTAGGAGTTAAGTTTTTGTACTCTGGATGTAAATAACAAATTGTTTTTCTTCTAGTCCTTGAAAGATACTATTACTAACTATTCAGAATAATAAGAAAATGCAGGTTAGTAATTAGTCACCTCTTACAATTGAACTTGTAGTCTTAGGTATGTTTCAAAGTACAACAGAGATATAGTTTAGATAGTAAAGTCTTTTTCACATACTTCAGAGATTTACAGAATATGGCATTTAAGATGTTAATAGCATAGGTTTTTTTTTTTATGACAATGAGACATGTGTGCAACTGGCAGCACCAGTTACTACTAAAAGGAAAGCAACAGAAGGTTGTTGTGATGGTACTTGGATTTTACCTTTCATGGGCTCTTTTCAGAGTGAACAAAATAATTCAGATCACCCACTCAGGAACCAAATTATTCTTTCTCCATGCACTTGATTTGGGAGAGTGGCCATGAGAGCATTTAATAATAACAGTTTCTCCTGTCTGCTATCTAGAAAAGGCTAAGGATTTTGAAATGGTCTCCTTCCTATTTGTTTTAATTAAATCATAATAGGCTTGATAATTCTCTTTTTATAATTGTTGCTCAAAGTAACCAGTTAAAAAGTAATAACCTAGCTGGGCAGTGGTGGCTCACGCCTTTAATCCCAGCACTCGGGAGGCAGAGGCAGGCAGATCTCTGTGAGTTGAAGACAAGCCTGGTCTACAAGAGCTAGTTCCAGATCAGCCTCCATAGCCACAGAGAAACCCTGTTTCTAAAAACCAAAAATGAAAAAAATTAATAACCTATAGCTGTAATGCAAATTCGAGAGAACTGTAACAAGAGCTAAATAAGCAAGCAAAAAGAAGCACTTACTTTCACTATGAATAGCACTGTGAGTAGAGACGAAGAGTTTTCAAATTCTTTGATAGCATTAACAATATTACATTTCATATTCTTGAAAACACCAAAGCCTTCATTTGCTAATTTTGAAGATTACCACCCTGATTTTGACCTGTAAAATAAAGGATGATAGAGGAATATGTGAGTTTTCCTGATGAGTTTCATTAGTGGGTTAGGAGACCAAATAATTTAAACAAAATAATAACTGGGATATAAAAAGCAGCACTGCTTAATACCTAGTATAAGCTGGGGAACACTTATTTGTTTAATAACTGCTGAGAACATGATAAAAATAAGTTACGAATAAGCTAATAGTTGATAATGACCCTTAGCCTAGAGAGTAACTGAATAATCCAATAAAGGTGTGGCTACCCACTCCTCCATGTGCAGAGATTTAAGTTAATTGTTAGTTTACCAGTTTATAAAGAGTAGTTCAATATGCATACATTTTGTGGAAAATGTAAGGGCAAAGATTCATTATATATTGCCCAAATACATTATTTTATGCTTTTATAAAGAAGTATTTTGCCCTAATTAAATTTAGTTCATTAGTTGTTGTATATTCAAAGTGTGATCTATATGTAGATCTTGAGGACTTCACACCATTGTGAGTAATTTTGGTAAATGTTCATTGCAGGCTAATATTCTTCTTTTGTCCATTCTGACCATATGTACCTTCTATGCAATTCTGCCTGATTGTAATAGTTAAGGTTGTGTATGAGTTATAAGTGAAAGTAAAGAAAAAAACTTTGTGACTATCAACATATTATTTTGAGGCTGTTTTATCAATTCATACAAAGCTCACTCATATCCAAATAATCATAGTCAATATTGTATAGTACAGATTATACATACTACATGTGAAAATTGTGAGAAAAATGAAAACTCGATTTGCAGTTTCTCTTTCCCCATATGTGCTGCTTGGCAGGTACAGTTCCGCTGTGACCTGTTTCATCTTCTGCCTCGTTCTTTACCAGCTCCCGCCAGGCGGCAGTTTAGATGCACATGTGTCTCTCATCTTAATGATTAACAGCTC